TGCAGAGGAAGAAAAAATCCTAATAAACAAGACATGAATATATCTATATATATATATATATATATATATATAGCATCGTTTTGGTCGTCTTCGCCATTCATATGTATCCCCTCTATAATTTATACGTACGTGCTCCAATGATTTTCCTGCTTTCATTTTCACCACGTAAAGTGCGGTTACTTGCCACTCTTATCAACTGAAATCCTCTTTTTTTATTCTTTGGAAATTACGGTCCAAATTTGTATCGAAATTCAAATCACAGTTATAATAATTTATAACCAGTGGCGGACCTACATGCAAATATGGTGTCACATGCCCTCTTTCAACCGATTAATTTTTTTTTGTAAACTTTTGAATAAAATTGTTAAATGTCCCCATAAAATTAATTTTATTCATAATAAAAATAAATTTATCCGTATTATATATATTTTTTAGGTCCGCCACTGATTATAACCGGTTACACAAAAACAATGATAATAATAGATCATCCAAACATAAGCTAGAAGAATAATATTTTTTTTATGATTCACAATTTCCATTAAAAAGAACACCCATTTCAATTATACAAATGATAAGCATACAACGGGAATCATATTATATTTGGGTCTCAAAAGAAAATTTAATCAATTGAAACTTAATGAAAATTGAAATGCCTATATATGAAATGATATATTCCTTGCTTAATAATTCAGACCAATCACAGGGACCATATATATATATATATATATGTTAATCTGATTATAATGCTGTAAAATATTAAACGAAACATCTAAGCCATTAAAAACTGACACGTGTAATTATTTATCTTTTTTTTCTGTACCGTAACTATACACTAATGCTCAGATTTAGAATGAGTAACTGTAATGTAACTATTACAATTAATGCACATAATTCTGTACGTACACATGTAGCATCGTGTTATATATTGTGAGGAGAAACATGGGGGTAGAATAGTCATTATCATATGTGGTCACTGGCCCTCTATGAAAAGAATGAATCTCCATGCAATACAATATGATTGGTTTTTGCCATGCAGCTCTATTAAAAAAAAAATTTCTTTTTTTGCCGTTAATGAATTATTGGAAAATTGGCAATTTTAAGAACTCTTATCTGATTATATTACATATAATTTCTCAAAAAATAAACTTTTGTGTTCAAGATAATTACGTGTGTGTGTATATATATTTGGCAGTTTCCCTTAGCAATTGTCTTTAACTTGTACAGCGAATTATCATTAACATGCACAATGAATTATCATTGTAATTTACGATTCTGAAAATAACTAGATCTATGGAACATATATAAGTCGATGTTTGACCTAATATAATTACAAAATTATTAGCAGCTTTGATGCCCCCCCCCCCGGAGATACATACATACATACATATATATGTATGTATATGGTACATAATCATTCATACATATAACATCACGAATTTACAAAACGTATTCTTTGTAAGTTGTAATTCTGAATATTTGTGAGAATGTATACCGTCTATGTTGTCGTATATTTCTTGGAATTTCGAACATCGCAAGAAATACTGCCATTTATTTGTGAGTATTAGTTGTGTTTTTTATATTTCAAAATTTATGATTTCTATATATGTGATAAGGTTTATTTGTCAAAGAGAATAGATAAAGTTTACACGAAAGAGCATCTGCCACATATCAGCCGCAAATCCACTAAATGCACCTTAAAATTTGACTAAAAATCATATATATATATATATAATATACACAATTAATCTATATATGTGAACGTGGCAGCCCAATCGATAACAGGGAAAATTGGTCCAAATGCTACAAACTAAAGAACCCTAAGCATCGACATTAATAGGGTTATGAGAATTTATGCACGTCGAAGAAACTATGAGCATCTCACAAATTTTGCAATGATGGTCGATCCAAACAATGGTGATAACTCGACTGTTATCATATTATATAAATTTTATTAAATTCTTTATAATTATAACCCCAATAAAATCAATTAATTAATATATTCCATCATTCATCACTAAATATGCTTTTAAAAAGGCATTAGGCTTGGGTCGATATCGAGTATATGATTACTTACCGGCGCGTGAGAAAGATAACGCTTCCTCCACCAACTCACAGCATATATATATATATATATATAAGAAATTTAATAACTCGCATCAATAAAAAAAGATAAAAGCGACAAATATGATTTAAAATATCTATAGTACTATGAATTTCACTTGCTAGTTAAGTATGTTTAAAACATGTTAATCGAAACATATAGAATTCGCCAATCCAAACAAAAAACAACAATTTTTTTTTATGTAACCAAATATTTTGCGTTACATATTCAGAATATTGGAAAATATGGAAAGTTATAAAGAGTTATTTATTATGGAATTATATTCCTAATAGAATTAGTATTAATATCCTAATAGAATTAGTTTCTAAAATTCTAGTGGAATTAGATTTATTCTATATTTATGTCTATATAGTGGCGGACCTAAAAAAATGTATCATTGGGAAACATTTTATTTATTATAAGCAAATTTAATTTTAACTCTAAACCAATTCTAAATCTTAATTATAAACCATAGTTCATAGAGTTTAAAATATAGGTTTTCTTGAAGTTGGTTTAGACCTTTACAATTTACGTTCTATGAATTTAGAGATTAAATTTTAGAATTTATGTTTTAAAGTTTAGAGAGAAATATAATTAGTAAATTGAGAATAATAATAATAAAAGATTAAACCAACCGATCAAATATCTCAATAAAGGGATTAGGAGGAAGTTATAGGAGTATATAACGTTCTTTTATCTATTTGGATGGGTTTCAATATATATATATATATATATATGTATATATTATAAGAATCTAGAAGTAGGTGTTAATTTAGGTTCCATTATTTTAATTTGAACGGTGTGACGTCGTCTGTGGTATACTTTTGGGTAAGAAAGTCGACACGTGTCATAAAGACAGTAACACGTGTTCACTTTCCATTAAGTTTCCTCGAGAACTGAAATCTTTTTAGATTTTTCGAATTCCGCAAAGTTTTTTTTTAATCATACGTTTCGACTTGACAGTGGTTCGGACCGAAGTGATGGGACCCAAAAGACAGGTTTGCCGAATTTATTATTTTTTTGTTAAATATATGTTATTATTTTTCAATAACTAAACTATATATATTTATATCTAGCAAAATCATTTCTTTCGGATATAAATTAAAAAAATATAACAAAAGTGTATCATTCAATTGATTTTTTTTATTCTCAATACATATCATTTGATTGATTTTATTCAATCTTTTACGAATTTACTAAATTTGCAGATTCGTCATATACATAACGTAATATCAAAAATTAATATTGTGACAAATAAATTAAATTATATATTTCTAATAGATTTATTATCTAGTAAATAATCTTATATGTGATTCTATGTATATTTTAACTATAGTTTTATTGTTCGCATAACATGGAGTGTTTTTTTTTTGTTTTTTTATGAAAACATAACATGGAGTGTTGGTAATTGGTATCAGTGATTAATTGTGTTTCACCTCGGGGAATAAAATAGAAATTATATTAAAAAAATAAAAATCTAAACCAAAAGAAAAAGATTGTGTGTAAATACTAGTACCATATAGGTTTATATATTTATATATTATATATCAATATGATTACATTCCATAAAAATTTTATATTATTGCCAATTTGCCACGGCTCAAATGAGGAGAAAAAAGAGTGTTAGGTAACTAATAATACGGAGATTATAAAAAATAATAATAATAACTATAATAAGATCATCGTGAGGCAACGACCATCCATCTTGCATTCTACTTATAGAAATATAGAGGGTAGAGACCACGTCACAGGAGACACAAGTCTAACTACGTTGACCATTTTCTCTGACACAGCAGTTAGCTTGCAACCAGATCTTGTCGGCCAATAACATGGAACGAATTATTTATTATATTAATTAATTAATTAGTCTCTCGTTTGCTTCTCACTTTCGAGAAACAACGCTGCTCTCGAACACACAAGCCTTTTTCTTGTTATTAGCATAGTAATTATTCACTTATATATGGGCATAATCCAGTCTCTATGTGTTATTTTTATTTATAAAAATATGTATGAGCAATTCTAATGAAAGTTAGAATGTTAAATTATACATATATATATATATATATATATATTCTTGGGCCTGGTTTGATAAATTTGGTTCAAAATGAACAACGCATGTATGCGAAAACGTTCCTAAAAAAATATCATATATTCGTTTAGTTAGGTTTATATATATATATGTGAAAACGACTTTGGACCGAATTAAATGATAATTTCAATATTGGGTAAAGGATGAAGGCATGCGAATGAGAGATTCAAGAGCCATGTGGGCGACGGTGGTTGCGAAAACGATGAAGCTTTTTGTCCATCACCACCCGGACAGGTGCAAGTACATACTTGTCGCAACTTGATTGTCTGAAACAAAAATCAATTTCATTTGTTTCGGAATTTTTTCAATTAATTCGGAAGTCGACATTGTATTTGAAAATATAGAATCAAGTTTACATGATTCAAACATACCCATGAAAAAATAATATATCCGAAAACTATTACACGAAAGGTAAAAGGATAAAAGGGCATAAATGTAAAATAATACAAGAGTAAGATGTTCGAATACACCTACTAGTTGGTGATCCAATGATTGAGAGCTGATAAAAGTATTTCAAGATCATGGGTTCGATTCTACTAGTGGGAGTAGAGAACATAATTAATTGCGTGACTAAACACTGATTCTAGATTTAAAGAGATTAAATGGGTCGAAAATTAATTTTTTAGTTATAATAAAAATATTTGAAGATGATTATCGGATAATCTAATTATATTAAATGGTTTCAATGTTATAATAAAAATGTTTAAAAATGTTTGAAGATGATTATCGGATAATCTATGTATATAACGATTAGAATAGACAATATTCGGACAAAGGTGTGTTTACAACTGGCGATTTCTAACATAACAAGAATAAAGGAAAATAAGATAAGGCATGTACATATATATATATATATATATATATATATATATATATACATAATTAATAAGCTTCTCGCACTTGCCCTTCTTGGTAATTGTGAATGTAATAAATATTATCATACCTAACTCAATTTGGCACGATATCTATAAGAATCGATGCATTAGGTCTCCTTGTCTCCTCCCATAACTCTCTAAACCTAATATTTATCATCTCATTCACTTTTAAAAAGGAGCACGGCTCTAAGAATACATACATATGTATTATCATCACTCATTCCAAACCAGTTTGGTTAGGAATCAGACATAACCGAAGTCAAAAGCAGTCCCTTTAACCGTTACGGTTCTAATCGAGAAAACGAATCAAGCACCAAAATTCCGGTTTGGACCGGTCTGATTCGGTTAACACAAACCATGAAAAACTTTGCCGCCGGGCATTGATGATCATCTTCCTCTACATGGGACCGGTGATTTCGGCTCTCCGGTGGCCGATGAACGTCTATGAAAATGTGTGAATTATATGGAATGAAACTGGTTTCTGAAGATTTTTTTTTTTGTAATGGAAAATTTCATATCACTATCTCGCGTTAAATAAATGACTAAAATTTATTGTAATCTAATCGCGATACACAACCCCATGCAATGTGTAATAATGATCGTAAATTATACGGAATTCTGCAAACCCGAACACAATAAAGAGCGACGACCAATTTCAACAGTAGGAACATTAACACACAAATAGGATGTTGTTACTAAAGCAGTGTCTTGCCATCTCTTACGAGATTCGCAGTGTCAATCCCAAGTTATTCAGATTCAAAGTCGAAACCTTTTTGTCTTGATCCATGATGGGTTACCGCTACTCGGACGGTTTCTCCTCCTGCTGCTTCTCTGATGACAAGTACCTGTCACAAACACAAACACAAACTGTCTTAATCTGCAGTTTCAAGATTGCAAAAAATGGCATATTAGGGTTTGATTGATTTCTTCGAGAATCCGTCCAAAGAACTTGATGATGCATACAGAGAGCACATGCATTTCTATCAAATGGCACTGATTGCATGAATAATAGACCTACATGATTCTTTTAAGGTTTGAGGTTTCTTATCCCTAGTTCACGCTAAATGGTTAGACACGTTTCATTTGGAGTTCTTCAGCAACCAGAAGAGATAGAGTTGGATGTTTGTTTAATCACAAATCCATAGGAGAAGTTGAATGGCTCTCCATGATAGTCGGGCGTCGTTTTTTTTACTTACCCCTGACTCCTGGCCCACCGAGAAAGCTGATAGAGCTGTACAGTCTCGTTGGAAGCATGGCAAGCCAGAAGCAAATAGTTGCGTGGTTGAACCATCCATGCAAATCTCATGAACAACGCTGAGTAAATGCACATCGCTGTAACACGAAAATTAAAGTCACAATCATAGGTTGCAATATTTATAAGCCTTAAAAGATTTCAACCAGGTCTCGTTCTTACCCGATGTCATGTTTCCAGAAATCATTTCAGGGGGTTTGTTCATGTCCACCAAACCCTATCACAATTCACCAGTCAGCATTCATACTGAATCCAAAGATTGAAAACCAATGAGATGTGAAGAACGGGGAAAAGCGCAAACGTACAGCAGCAACAAAGCCCCAGTTTGCAATGGGCCCCCAGAAATGAGTCGTTTTAGGGCCAACGGGACTGTTCAAGAATGCTTGGAACCTCGATGCCATCTCTTATCACCTGCTACTGAAACCCTCTAATAGTAGTGAAGTAAGGGATAAAAATAACACATCAAGTCATCTTCACATATGTTACAAAATGTCAATGGAAATAAGTATTTATTCAAAGGGTTCCACATAACACAACATCTTTCTTATATCAACTAAGGGTGCAGCCTAATTGAGCTGTTTTCTGGAAGTAAACGAATTTTTAACAAGTAACCATGCTAGTCCGATTAAAAAATTTCTCTTCTTTGAAGAAGTGTTAGGCCTTAATTTCATAGTGTCCATTCTGAGTCTCTAAGCACAGACATATATATATATACAGTAGGAGCATAGGAAGCAAAAAAACGAACTCAACAAACCTAAGAAAGCGGACATACGCACACAAGATACATGACTTTAACTGAAGCCAACAGAAAATATTGTACTGCACATTAAGAATCGATCCCCACTGATTCCTTTAAAACATTTCCCCCGCCCAGAGAATTCTGTCTTCTGTTTTGACATCAATCCTAGAATCTTTTGTTCTCTCAAAATCTATACCCAGATAACGTTTCATTGTAGAAAAACAAACTACGAATAAACCTAGTTAAGCCCCCCTTCCACAGTTCTTAAGGTCGAAAATTGGTACAACCGAACTCGGTTACAGAAGAGAAGCAAAATACAAACAAAATAAGCCCCAAGCAAAAGAGATACCCCTAACTCAACTAAAGCCTCCCAATCATATATGCATAGCAAACTAAGGAAGCATTAAAAAACATTCCATCAAAATTTTTCCTCGGCCAGAGAAAATCGCTTCATGCTTCGAAGATTGATCCTAGATTGTCAAAGCTTTTCACTTTCTTCGTAATCAAAATGGTCAACAGTTATGAAATCAAAATCCGTGTTCAAGTAAAGGAATCCCCTTTCTCACACCTACATATCTAACTTTCCCACAAATAAGCCAACCATACATCAGAATCAGAATACATTCAATGCATCCACTTTCATGCATAGCATCCTCGAACAGGAAGATTCGTCACACGTTTTACCCCATCCCAAATCAACCAGAAAACAGGAAACATTCCACAACCCAGAAAACAACCATTAGAAATCCGAGCGATCACACAACGAACATCGCTGAATGTGTCAATACACAATTCTGCATATGGATACATAGAGGAGAGAAGAGCACAGATTTATCATCTCGAATTTGAGGAATCCAAAACCAGCGGAATAAATCTCCAATCGATAAGACAACAGATTCGCCCTCGACGAACATAGATGCGAACCTGATTGGGAACACTAAATTTTAACGTTACATGTGTATCTACAGAAGGAGTTACCTTGTCGGAGATGTTTCGCCGGGAACCACCACAGTAAAGTCAATGCCCGCGGCGATGGAAAATCTGAGAAAGCGCAGTTGAAAAGACGAAAATGCGATATCAGCTTCGAATCTCTCTGGTTCGGTGAAATGTTCCAGTGCGGTCGTACGCATGTTAACAATCATGCAACCGACGACTGGGCCAAATGCGTTATCGAAACGCTGTATAGCGTTTAAAACTTTAGCCAAACGCCATATTTTCGCGTTCTCACAGAAACCCAAACGCTCGCGCGGCGTTTTAAACCTCGACTTGTCATCGTCTGTCACGCCTTTAAATACTGAAACAAGAGTCAGAAGACACTTTCTACCGTGGAGTGTATATCGAATCACAGAGAGAGAGGGAGCCTAAGAGTACGATTATGGCGAAGGAACAGTCGGCGAGTGAAGTGAGCTCCATCGTATCTGATTTTCTCAGCTTCCTCAACGCTTCTCCCACCGCTTTCCATGCCGTTGGTAGCTTTCTCTTTCTCTCTGACTCTTAATCTTTCTTTTGGTTTCCGGGAAAATCCCATGTTTTGGCTTTCATACGACTCTAGGATCCTCTTTGTCCTCTCGCTTATAGAATGGAGGGAAGATTCCGATGTCTTTTCTCTTTGATTTTTGATTTGCGATATCAGGGCGGATGAAATGAAACAAAAGTTGTCTTTGCGAATCACTTATACTTGCCAGCATCAGTATCTCAATCTCGAGAAAAGTTTTGGGAATCTCATATTTGATGCTGATTATGCTCTAGTGAGAGAGAAATGAAGCCATCGTGATTCAAAATCTGTATGAGTTCGAGTAGTGATTTAGTGTTGGACTGCGGAACAAACCCCTGATTTTGTGTTGGTGATCGTTTCTTCTTTGTATAAGTTTATGATTCTTCAGCAGGTTTTTTCCTGAAACATGCAAGTAAAAGAGCGATTTTCATGTCTGGGTACAAATTCCAGTGTTCATTGTGTGAGTTACAGTAATGACCTAATGTTGCAGACGAGGCAAAGAGACGGTTGCAAAAGGCAGGGTATGAGCAGGTTTCGGAGAGAGATGATTGGAAACTGGAAGCTGGAAAAAAGTATTTCTTCACCCGGAATTTCTCCACGGTTGTTGCTTTTGCCATCGGCAAAAAGTATGGTTCTTTCTTTTTTTTTTTTGGGGGGGGGGGGCAGTCAAAGAATTAAGCCAACCAAATGCTAGACTGGGGAAAACAACTGTTCGATAATGAGCCGGTATTTTTTTATATAACCGCTCTCTTACTCTTTATCTTTCTTAGAGGAATGCTCCAAGATTACAAAAAGACGGTAAACGACGTCTTTGAGTACAATAAAACACTCGGCGTTCCGATCTCATTCTCATATAGCTGGATTCGCGGTGTTAAAATCAAACCGGTATTTCCGGATCAGGCCAGATAGGTTAAAATCGAACTAGCATTTCTAATAGCTAAGAGTTCGCTGGCGAAGGGCTTAGCAGCATAGTAAATAGGAGTGACTGAAAGCAGTCCGCACAGTCTTCTTTTATAATTTCCCTCTCCTACGACCCGACGACCATGACTCTCGATCCTACGGTATGGATTGTTTTCAGGTCAAGTAACCTTACCCTTCTTTACAATTGAGTTCCTTACACAAATTCTGTTATCGAACTTGGTTCGATGAGTTGGCTTGGATTGAAAATCTAGTCTGCACTAATATGGCAGTGCATGTTCTTTGTTGCGGGATCGCTCATGTTGCAAGAGAGAATGAAATACAAAGTGAAAGGGACTTGACATGCTTGATGCTGTAAACATTTTACTGAGTTATTTTCTTTTGGTTGTACTTGTGATAAGATATGTTGCTGGGAGTGGATTCCATATAGTTGGAGCACATACTGATAGCCCTTGCCTAAAACTGAAGCCGGTCTCAAAGGTAACATGATTTAAGATTTGAACTTTTACCTGGCATATTTTGTACAATTTGTTTCATTTTCGTAAAGAGTGAAGGCATCGACTTAGTTTGGTTGAACATGGATTATTTTGACAGGTGGTGAAAGGTGGATTCTTAGAGGTCGGTGTTCAAACATATGGAGGTGGCTTGTGGCACACCTGGTTTGACCGTGACTTGACTGTTGCGGGACGTGTGATTGTAAAGGAAGAGAAGGCAGGTTCGGTGTCATATTCTCACCGGCTAGTTAGGATTGAGGATCCGATAATGCGCATCCCTACCTTGGCCATCCATTTGGACAGGTTCTCTCTCGATACCTTGAATGTGCATTCAGCTGCCACTGTTATGTGTTGTAATATTTTCTGTCTAATTATAGTGTTGGCTTTGACCTGGGTATGTTTTCAAATTCTCTTTTAGTAAGCTAACTTCATATAGGAGTTGTTGATGGTTTGCTATGTCTCATGAACAGGAATGTCAACAGTGATGGTTTTAAGCCAAACACTCATACGCATCTCGTCCCTGTACTGGCAACAGCTATCAAGGTATTCTTAAAGTGCTAACCACATCCTTCAAGCTTATCTCTAGAAACAAACAGCTATGCTTACACGTGACTATTATAATGGAATATTAGGGTCATATATGTTTATTCATGTCTTAATTTGAATATAATGTTCTGTTGTATTTACCTTAAGTCTATATTCTCTGTGTTCAATGACTTGCTGGGATCAGAATCAATATTTGGAAGTTCATCTTTTGTTAGTTTCAGCTATGGAGTTGAACCTCTTTATCAAATAAACTGCAAAATCTGGATTCTAGCTTTTATGTTTAATTCACCCCTTATATTTAAAATGTTGAAGGCGGAACTCAATAAGGTGCCTGCTCAAAGCGATCCAGCAGAAGGCGGAGAAAATGATGGAGGAAAGAAATGTACTGATTCGAATTCAAAACCGAAGCATCACCCACTTCTACTTCAGGTCTAGTTGAGATTATGCTTGAGCCTTGAGGGTTTCGTATCGAATACTTTCTTGTTTAATAATTATGCAGTCCTCTTCCCTGATAGATGATTGCAAGTGAGATAGGCTGTAAACCCGAGGAGATATGTGATTTTGAGCTGCAAGCTTGCGATACTCAGCCGAGCATTCTAGCCGGTGCAGCAAAGGAGTTCATTTTCTCTGGAAGACTAGATAACCTCTGCATGTCATATTGCTCTCTTAAGGTACATGTCATTAACTTGTGTTATTTCGGTGGAGTATCTGGGTGTACAATCAAGATTTGATAATTGTGACTTGCGAGTATTGCTGAGATGATTCACATCTAATTCATTTCATGTTAACTGCCTGCGTTTTGAGATTATTCCTGCTTTTATGACACCCTTTGTTTTCTCTGTTAGAAGTTTTATCTGCTTATGCTGCTTACTGTCCGATTTTTTTCTGTACAGGCACTCATAGACGCGACATCCTCTGAAAATGATCTCGAGGAGGAAGCTGGAGTTAGAATGGTGGCACTATTTGATCATGAGGAAGTCGGGTCTAACTCAGCACAAGGCGCTGGCTCACCTGTCATGTTCGATGCTTTATCGCACATAACAAGTTGTTTCAGCTCCGACTATAAGGTAACATCGATTCAATCAGACAGCAACCCTGGTTTTCATCTTTACTCTTATCATCCTTGGCTGAAATGTAGAGGTTGAACGATCATATTTTTGGTGAATGTGTTTTCAGTTGATCAAGAAAGCAATCCAGAGAAGTTTGCTTGTTTCTGCTGACATGGCTCACGCCTTACACCCTAACTACATGGTCGGATAATATCATATCCTTTCGTCATTACTGTTTTCTTACACGGAAGACTTTACGTCCTCTCTGATCGCATTGAGGTTCTATTTCGCAGGACAAACACGAAGAGAACCATCAGCCTAAGATGCATGGAGGGCTTGTCATAAAAACCAATGCCAACCAACGCTATGCAACTAATGCAGTAACTTCCTTCATATTCAAGGAAATAGCAGAGAAGCACAATCTGCCTGTTCAGGTTCGTTTTCCACTCATTTTCAGTCATGAGGTTCTCTTTGGGCATTTCATATAAACGGGTTTTGACACGAAAATCGTAGGACTTTGTGGTACGTAACGATATGGGTTGCGGTTCAACCATTGGTCCTATCCTGGCAAGCGGAGTGGGGATACGAACAGTGGACGTAGGTGCACCTCAGCTGTCAATGCACAGCATCCGTGAGATGTGTGCTGTGGACGACGTAAAGTACTCGTACGAGCATTTCAAGGCTTTCTTCCAGGAATTCGCTCACCTCGACTCGAAACTCACCATTGACATGTAAGCGCTTCTTACAGCTTTCCATTACCACAAAATCGCCCTCAATAACCATCTCGAGACATTCTACTGAATCCAGACTGAAAATGTATCACATTTTCCTGAATAAAAGGACACATATGTGTTTTCTTATTATAGAGAGCACTCTCAAGGCAATGACATAACCTTTATTTGAATCATCAAATATCACAATGCATTGAAACAAGCCGGAACAGATCAAGGCTTTCTCAGGTACGTATCGAACAAAAACTTCTCACCCGTTTTCAAGTCGTAAGAAAAAGGATTAAATCTTTCGGAAAGGAGGGTAAAGGTCATGCAGAGACCGCCTTCTTCACCTCTGCGGTGACCTCTTGAGGCGGCTTCTCGGCCGGAATGTTGACCAGTTTTCCCTTCTGTGCATAGTATTGAATAACCTGCAAGTTACCACTTACACCATTAACCAAAAGAATTGACCATTGTCTTCTTGCCAAGGTATGCACCATTTTTACCATCCTAGGAAAGTGTTACCACCAGCATTCTACTAAATGTTACAGTCAGAAAAATGTATTTTACCGGCTCTGTCTGCTTGTGGAATGCATCCAGTCTCGACCTAAGGACGTCGGCATTGTCATCTTTACGTTGGATCAGTTGTTCTCCGGTTACCTTCACAAGAAAGAAGAAGACAGAAATCAGAAAAGGTTTCTGATTTGACGAAACGAGAACAAATGAAAGTTGCTGCCTTTTTTTACATCGTCGATGCCGGGAACTTTAGGAGGTGCAAATTTGGTGTGATAGGACCTGCCACTCGAGGGATGGATCCACCGCCCGGTAATCCTCTCTTCCAAAACAGAATCATCGATCGCAAAGCTGAGAACTTTATCGATCTCGGCTCCTCGTCTCTTAAGCATCTCATCGAGCTGCGACTTTCGAGGGTCAGAGGAACAGAAACAGAAACATTTCCCCGATGAACACCCGGAAAAATAAGAAGACGAAAGGGTACCTTCTCGGCTTGGGTAACAGTTCTAGGGAAGCCATCGAGAATGAAACCCTTCTGGCATTTGGGTCTGTTCATGGCTTCATCCATGATTCCGACAACCAAATCATCAGAAACAAGCTCTCCCTGTTTACAAACACAAATTTCACATTGCAACCAATACAACCAACCATTGCCGGAATTGAAGTTTCAGGATTGGTTTTAGGGTTTCTACCTTATCCATAGCATCTTTTGCCTTAACCCCGAGAGGGGTCTTAGCAGAAACAGCTGCTCTAAGCATATCGCCGGTGGACAAGTGGCACAGGCAGAACTCGTCCTTTATCACCGGAGACTGCGTTCCTTTCCCTGAACCGGGTGGTCCTGCCAATCAATCCAAGAACTTGTTATAGATAGCATCAAGTGTAGAACCCTAACTCGTTTCTTTCCATGAATCATCAAAAACCAGGAGATTTTTTCAGACATGAGACAACAAATTTCGGCTCTCTCTCTCTGCCGGGTTTCACTGATAATGGAGCAATTTCAGAACCCTTTTGGCCTTCTCTGTCTCACACAATGAAATCACTGAGAAATCCGCAAAACCCTAAACACGACTTAGTAGAGAACATAAAAAACCGATACTTTCCAACACAATGATAAGCAATGTCACAGCAACAATGCTATCGATACTTAACTTCAAGATTCAAACACAGGCAAACGAAAGGCTCTGCCTTTTTTTTTTCTCCAACGCTTCACTGTCCGTACAGATAACCAAAAACCTCTTCGCACAATAATTCTCCTCCCTATGAACACATTTTCACCAACCCAACACGAACGAAACCTCAAAGATCTAATCAACTGCAAAACCCACCACGAAAAATCCAAACTTTTTTCCAGGGCAACAAACGCAGAAAAACAGACATACCGATGAAGATGAGACGCTTTTCAGGCTTAGAAGCACATTTCATACGACGGAGGAGTTCGGACATGAGATCGACGGTCTGAACATCTTCCAAATCCACAACCGCAGCAGAAGTCGCCATTGTCTTTTTTTTTTTTTTGTGAAATTGGTTTTGTATTACGAAAGGGTCTTCGCTTCGGGACGTGTGTTGAAGTTTGGAGATCTGCTGCTTTTATGGATTCCATTCGGACCTTCCAATGCTTTCGTCTCAATGCAGCGATTCTCTATTTACTGTTCTACCCTTCATTTCTCTGTGAATTCCCGAATTTGTCCTCATTTTTTGGTTCACCTAACTCATGAAATTTTGGGTTGGTGGGGTTTTCTTTTCTTTTCTATTCAATATATAATTATTCGTATTTGCTTATTAATTTAACAACTTTTATACATGAAAAATGTGCTGTAAAATTAAAGTTAACATTTTAAACAGTAAAAAAAAAAGATATTGGGCTGACAAGTTCTTAACTCAACTATTATTGAAAATTATATAAGGTTAAAAAAGAAAATAAGCAGATATGGTTTCAGATCGGTAAGTTCTTAATCTATTTTTTGGGGAAGGTTGCAAAATTAAATTCTAATAAAATCTATTTTGGTAACTGTTCAAAAGAGATAGAACTTGTATCACCTAAAATATATTCATGATTTTTCTTTATGAACAAATATATGCTATGCATTAGTATTAGAACTTGTATCACCTAAAATATATTCATGATTTTTCTATGTATTGGGTTAATTTAGAACTATACCAAACTCTTAACGAAGGTTAATTTATGTAATTTTTAATTACTTAAATCGATGGCATTGCTAGTTTCATAATTGAAAAAACAATCGAATTCAACTAAAATATTTTACTATTAAAAACTACATAACCATTATTCTTTTTAATTCCACGATTTTTTAAAATTTTATGAACTTAAAATTTTCATCTCTTATATTGTTTCAATGACATAAACTCGAATTCAATAATCTGATAAAATCAGTCAACTTAACTCTCTAAACTTATATTGGTTATATATATATGTATGTATGATTAGGAACAATCATTATTAACGGGTAATGTTTAAAATTTAATCATTCTTTTAACAACGAAGGCCGAGTGATTCTTGCATTGATTTTTTTTTTTTGTGATTTTGTTTGGAGGAGGACGTTGCTTTGTCAATACGTAACTTTGCCTAAGAAAAGTCCAAACCGATTCATATCTCTTCCAAGATTCAAAGGCTATAAAATAAAAATACTCGAATTATTATTAATAATATTATTATTCCAAACATTTTGTATGATTTTGCTTTAAATACAAAATCTCCTCTTAAAAACTCGTAAAGGAAGAAACACACGCAAACCAATGCACCATTTTATTCTTCAAGCGTTACTCACTCTTCTCCTCCTCCGTTTTGGCTTTTACTGAGCTTCACTTCACACTGCAACCATCCATCCGACAAATAACCAACATCAAATCTCTTATATCAAACATACATGTACATACATACATGAACATGCATGCATAAAACAATGAGGAAGGAGGCTCACTTGTTGCAGTTGGTGGAGAGGCTAATAGGGTAAGGAATCTTAACGCGGCAAACGCGGGGAAGAGCAGCCGCGCGTCCGGCGTTAACGTTACCCATCCCTCTGGCAGCGTTCTGCATGCACCTACAAGCCTGTCGCCGGTCCACAGTGGTTCGAGCCATGGCAGCCAACCCTCGGATGCCAGCGCAGCACTGCGGTTGGACCGCTCCTCCTCTGGTCAGGTAGCTTACGCATGGCGCCAGCTTGCTCGCCACCGTTCCACAGCTCAGTGCAGCCTCCGTAGCTGGCCATGCCGCCGCCACCACCAAGACCAGACACGTCAGTTTCAGAAGTGGTGATGCCATTTTTCCTTTTTTGTTTGTCTGTGAAGATATTTGAAGTGAATTAGGGTTTATATATATATATATATATATGGTTTAGGGTTTGGTGGTGGTTGGGTTTAATCTCAAATGTTTAATGCACTATTTGGTCAATGTTTATATATTGCATTGGATGGGGACAGAAATAAAATATATAGATAGATTCCTTATCTTTTCATGAAAAAAAAATGACTACCGACAAGATTCAACAAGTAGAATGTTGTTTATTATTGATAACTGAATAAATTTAAATATATAGTAAAATTTCTTATCTTAAATGTTAAAGAATAGATAAATACAAATGGAAAAAACACTAATATCTAATTTCCATAAAACCTTGTAAGAATGATAAATAGAGTTGTATGGTTTTAATAAGCGTTAAATAAATATGTAATGTGAGAGGCCATGCATGTAATATGCAAACTCCTAATTCATTGAATCCTATGTGACGTGCATTGATGATTGTACAGATGTCAGCCGCGTATCTTAGTACGTACCATGTATGTACGTGTGAATATAAGAGCAATTTAATGAATGGTCGTGTTAGTTAGCAGACGAATGAGCCTTGAGATCTGAGCACCCCTCTTTATTGTTCACTCCCTTCGATATTTGGACCCTCTCAGCTCTTATTACAATCTCTAATATTATTTCATTTCTCAATTTTGAAATATAAATATTCAGATATCCATAGATGAAAGATATTACATGTGAAAAGAAATATAAAGAATACCTTAGAATGCTATTATAATATTCAGATTTGATTTTATCTTTATATTTTAATTATTTTAATTAATTAAATAAGATATTTTGTGATTTTAGTTTTTACTGATAAATATTACAATATTCTATACTGAATAATGAAAAATCGGAAACAAACATTAGAAAGGTCAAACACAAACCCTAATGCTAAACCAATTTGACAATTGAATCCAAAAATCGGATTTTGTTTTTTTGGGGTCAAAGGCCTTCATGAAAATTTGAGAGCTAATCTCAATGAGATAAAGCTGGCAGCTGAAACTGAATCCAATGCCAAGACATAGTTCTCATATGCCCTTTTCGAGCATTGCTCTGACCCTCATCGGCAGTCCGTAGAGCCGAATGAACCCGGCCGCATCCGCCTGGTTATAGATCTCGCTCCCCTCGAACGATGATATGTCCTGTCTGTACAGACTGTACGGACTCCTGCGCCCCGTGACAGATACCGACCCTTTGTACAGCTTCAGCGTCACCGAGCCCGTGGTTTTCTCCGTCACCTTCTCCATGAACGCGTCCATCGATTCCCTCAGCGGATCGAACCATCTCCCGGCGTAAACCAGCTCGGCGTATTTGAGGGCTAGAGTGTCTTTCAGCTGGATAGTCTCCCTGTCCAGGAGGAGGGACTCGAGCTCTCTCACTCCCGAGAAGAGGATGGTCCCTCCCGGGGTTTCGTACACGCCTCGGGATTTCATTCCGACTAGACGATTCTCGACCAGGTCTATCCGTCCGATCCCATGCTTTCCCCCGATCTTGTTTAGCTCGGAAAGAAGGGTTGCTGGAGAGAGGGTCTTCCCGTCGATCGAGACGGGAATTCCAGATTCGATCCCTATCTCGATGTACCTACCGTACAAAAAAATAATCACACAAGCAGATGATATAAATATAATGCACAAAGACAATGTCATGACCATGATCTTGGTCTGGTAATTTCAAGCAGAGGTTCAAAGAAAAGGGCTTTACTCAGGCTGATCAGGTGCATCTTCCGGGTCTACGCTCATCATGTACATATCTTTCTTAGGCTCGTTTGCCGGATCTTCCAATATATCGCCCTTTAAACAAGCCGAGATATCCATCGTCAGGAAAAGCACGAAGACCGACACAATCATTCTATCATTCAAGACGATATGAAGATACGAATTTGATTCAGCCAACACTTATACCTCATGGCTAAGGTGCCATAGGTTCCTGTCTCGGCTGTAAATAGATTTCTTTGTCACAGGGACAGGAACATTGTGCTTCTTGGCGTACTCGATAGCGTCTTCTCTGCCCTTGATTTCCCATTCTCTCCACGGTGCTACGACTTTAAGTTCGGGGTTTAGCGAAAAGAATGTGAGCTCAAACCGAACCTGATTAAACAATCGAAAGATCCATGTAAGTACACGTACACACGTGTGAGTGCTTTTCATGTTATGCTTCCATGGCTTCTTGCCTGGTCATTTCCTTTGCCAGTGCATCCGTGTGCAACAGCATCAGCTCCGACTTCTTCTGCTACATCGACCATAGCCTATCATTTCGAGGCCGTGTTAGATAACGGAAAACACAAAATAGAGGCTAAGGACAGCTGAAAATACTCAAATTTCTATTCCATCATTATCTATTGGTTGGGTTTCAAAGGATGAACATTTTGAAAAAGTTACCTTTGCAATGACGGGCCGTGCCATCGAGGTACCGAGCAAGTACTTGCGTTCATAAATGGCGCCAGCTCGTAGACAAGGGTATATGTAATCTTTCACAAACTCCTCCTTTAGATCCCTAACGACCAACTGAGAAGCACCGCTGGCCTTGGCCTTTTGTTCTAATCCCTCTAACTCCAACGAACCCTGCAAAATCAAACAATTGCTATAGTTTGAAGATGGACCATAACCAGAGCAACACAATATAATATAAAGAAGGATATAATTTCTTGAATAAAACTGGTCGAGAATAGGCAGTTTTCGTAGCCTACCTGACCAACATCTGCGGTGAAGCACACGACTTCACAGCCATAATTCTCCCTGAGAGGAAAAAAAAAACTAGTTTATACCAAAGATTTTGTAGCATGTAAAAAATGCAACTGGTGGATAGAATTTGAGTTTCATGAAAAACCAAAAAGAAACTTCCAAAGAATCCAACCCAGCTGTTTCGACTTCCAGATAAATCAATGAAACTCGCGTGGATGGATTAGAGATCCATGTCTAATTCCATTCAAGCAAAGCATTTCATATGAACTGAAGCAAATTCTTCATAGGAAATGTATGAAGGATACTTCTCGGTAAATGTAAAAATTGAAAGAAAGAGTACTTACTTTAGCCATGGCACAATCACGGAGGTGTCTAAGCCACCACTGTACGCTAGAACAACCTTTTTCAGCTTGCCACGAAGCCCAGCACCCTCTGAATAAGCGTTCTTCACTGCATGTCCATCATTGGATAGAACAGCTCGGACAACTGCAAGTTCAATACCGCAACTGCTTTGGTCATAATGCTAATCCCATGAATCTAAACCCAGAAATCAACAAACAAGATGCTCCCTTTTGGGCATGAAATCCAGACAACAGGACAAAAGAATCAAAATCTAACAGGAAGCTGTCATCAATTCTGTCTAACTAGCTTCACCTTGTCTCTTGTAAGAGCAGGAGACATAAACTTTATTGCTAACAACAGCATTTCCCGAAAGCTGGCTTCGTCGTGAGGATATCTGCGTTCGATAAACGATGAAAGCAGACAATGTAGAATCAGATACAAGATCTCAAGAACGAAAGAATAACAGTTGTGAATATACAGAAGAAACCAAGAAATCTTGAAGACGATTATTTTTGAAGCTCAATAGAATGTCATAAATACCTCTAGGGAGTGCAAATTAGTTCTAGGGCAAGCTACATTTTGACATCTGAATGAACCTGCAAAACACAGGTAAATTAAAAAGTGGAACATGATCCGATTATGTCGGAATGAGAACCAAAACACCATCTTTGAAGAGAGTGATTGAACTTTCGAAGCGAACACTACTTCCGTCAAGCTAAAACACATCGAGAAATGAATAATAACAAAACCCATTCACGGATAAACTAGAAATCGGTGAATTTTATTCGACTATGCCAGTCCCAAATCAAAAATTCGAGAAATTACTCCCAATGGCATCATCTCATAGCCCAAACACACGAAATCAATGCGGAAAATGAGTAAAATCCAATATCCAGGCGTGAGAGAGATGAAATCTGTAGAAAGCAAACGAGAGAAGAAGAAAGAAAACCATTTTGGGGGCTAAGGAAGGCGAATGCAGATGAAGAAGGAGAGGGAAGAGAAGTCGCCGTGATTTCTGCCATTGATGTCCTCTTCTTCAGCAGCTCGAAGCGATGGTCGACGATGGTGCGTTGTCTCGGCACGTATAGGGTTTAGGACCAGCCTTTTTATAAAGGCGCGTGTAATGAAAATTAAAACTTTAAAAATATAAATATATTAGCCCACGTATTTTTTGAAAGATCGGTTATTAGCTTATGATTTTGATAAAATCCCCCACATTTTATTAAATGATATATTTCGATTTTTTTTTAAAGTTTGTGCCGTTTGATTGAGATTTTTAAAACACGTTTTAAAATCTTTAAATTCTACTGATATTCTCTTGGCATTGTCTCAAAATCAAGAATAATTTATTACATGACTCTAAAATCAATAAAAATAAACCCCATATATATATGAAATATATGTAATTCTTAATGACATTTTCATATAGATTTTATATTTAAAAATATTGTTTTAATATATATATGGTGAATAGATCAGGTAGATATTAATATGGGATATAAAAAACCTATAACCAAAAATCATAAGAGAGAGAGAGAAGTAATTTAATTATAATGAAGAAATTTATCTGTAAACTGTAATAAAATTTCAGATAAATTTCAATGAGATCTCAGAAGCGGCTGTTAGATTCTACAAGCTCTTCTTCTTCGTCTTCTTCATCTTCTTCCTCTGGTTTGTCACAGAACTTGTCTGAAACTCCTCTGTCCAAAGCCGCAGCTTCATCATCTCTAACAAACACAACTGGATCTGTCTGTTCATCTCCACCACATGTTTCGCCATGTTTATTGCCCATCTTCTTCGGTCCACGGGTGTTTCCACCTTATTTTCCATGGCTGTTGCAGAGCTTTCTTGCTGCCCAAGCCACCAGCACAGACATTAAGCATATCCATTGGACGCTATTCGGAAATAAGCATACGCACAGCCACATAAACTCATGCTTGGCATCATCAGAAGCAGTTCGATTCAGACAAGCTTCAGCTTTTCGGCTCATAATCGGACAAAAAACAAGATTTCCTCTTTGCTTTACAGGTCCTTTTTCTAACCCTAGATTCATATCAATCGTACAAAAAACGTAGAACTCTGTTATGAAACGACCGATACAGTACAAGTGACAAACAAGGAAAATGTTCCCTGTGACCCAAGTAAGCAATGATCCAACAAACCATTTCTCTTGATTTGCAGGCAATTTTCGTGATGAGAGAACACGGGAAGAGAAGCGATGACATTGTCAACGGAATCAATCGGCTTGGAATATTTATCAAACAAACACACCTGGCTCCTCCGATCGAAGCCTCTTCCGTTATCTGATCGACAATATAGCGCAGACTGAGGTATTGTTACGAGGTTAGTCACTGGTCCTGCTCCATCGAAAAGAACATGGAACGAAAAACCGAATTCTGTGAACCGAATGTTCACCTATGCGTAGCTAATCACACAGGTTGTAAAAGTCAATAATTACCCTTTTGATGGAAGAACCGGCGGATATTTTTGCAGCTTTCAATATCCCATATGCAGACGGTGCAATCGTTTGATGCAGATATCAGACCCGTCTTCCAGAACGTCAATGCGGTTATGGAGTCGCTACAGGAATGGGGAACACTTGATGTTAATACCAAAGAACTCATTCAGACCAGACAGAAGAAGAACAACTGTGTGAAAAAACCGAAAGACTCGTACATTAGACATTACTTGTGTCCTTTCAGCACAACAGTTCGATCTCGTTCATGGAGAAAGGAATCCTGAAACTTAGCATTATCGATGGCATCGAGGAATATACTTCCATCTACGGATCAAGTGCAATAGCAGATATCCCTTGACTGTAATCTCGAGTTTTCACAACCAAAGATAGCAGATATGAAAACAATTTCCACTGACCTTGCAACTTCCGTCCATGGAGTTCGATACGAATTTCAAGCGTGTGGATGTAGTTATAGTTAGTAAACCAGTTATGGAGGACGAGTGCTCAGAAGAACAATGTAGCAAAGCCGAGAAGCTTCCGCAATCATCGATATCAAGTAATCTTTGTCAAGAAACATCAACAAGACTAAGTTCTTTGTTGTTGAATCGAGGAGAAGGATTGAAAAAGATTGGGGATTTTTACCTGATCATAGAGCAAATCGGGATCATCCCACCATCAGAACCAGAGATTAGAAAAGACCCATCATCTGAAAAACTCATGCACTTCACAGATTTACGATGGGCGGTCCACGATTTGAGCAACCTCCCGCTTGCAACCTACATGTAAAAACAGAGAAATCATGTGATTTCATATATGCAATTCCACGAAATCAAGAGCAGTACATAGACTTATACAACACCTCCCAGAGATGCACGTTCCCCGAAACGTCTCCTGCAGCTAAATAAGCACCGTCCCTTGTGCTACAAAGGGGTTCTATTGCCTCCATCGTATGGCTTCTACGCGACGAACGGAGCTACGCGAAATCAAACGGGTATGAAGAATTCGAATCCAGAAACGATTTCATGAATTTGGGGTTTTGGGAAAATTGCTGGTACTTTGTTGATGGGCCAAGTGATGATGGAGCCGGAGCCGGAGCCGGAGCCGACGAAGCCATGTTTGGCGACCTGAGAAGCGACGAGGGAGTGATCGGAGAAAAAGAGGGGGCCGTGAGCCGCCGCGGCGCAGCCAGGTACGCGGAGGAGCCCCTTCGCCGTGTCGAGGTCGAACACCGTGATCGCCGCACACCACCACCGCCTCTCTCCCAGCTCTCTCCATCTCTCTCTGTACCCGTCCCTCTCTCTCTCACGCGCGCGCGCACACACATTTGATTTGAAGTGGTGAAGGAAGGAATATGGAGGAGAAAGGATCGCATGCAGCTCAAGTGGAGGTGGCGACCGAACTCCGGGCATAAACACAAAGTTTGCTACTCCCAATCACAATACTCTTTTTTTTCTCTCCAACTCGTGTTATTATCGTCCACACTTTTTATTTTTTTTTAATTACTATTAGTTTACAAAGCATAATTAATTTGGGTAAATAAGAGTTATATCTTTTATGCATCGATGATTAATCTCATATTGTTTGGACCCGTGCGTTTTTTCTGCCCGTATTTGAAATATTCAGCCATAAATATTTGTGGGTTTTAACACGACAAATGGGAAAAAAAAAAAAGAAATTTATTTGAAATAAAAATAACGATATTTCGATCAAACGGTTACGAAAATAAATAAATTGATCTCATATATAGGTTGTGTTCAACACTCTAAAGTAGAGTTAAATCAGTTTAATCAATTAGTAAGTCATTTTATCCATTATTTTGGGTTTAACAAACTGTGTTCACTCATCTCTCAATCCTCAAAATAGAATTGATAAATATATATATACACATACATATATAATGCAGTACTATGAATAAATGATTAAAAAAATAAAATTCCTGCTTCTACAAACACTTTCTATATATAATCATGAAATGCAAAAACAATCAACTGCAGAGAGGAGAGACATAATTCCAATACAATCCAACTGTTTTCCTAAAGAGCTCCAAACATGAAAATATAACAAAAACAGATGTAAGAACAATATATATATATATATATATATATATATATATATATATTCATTCTTAATCATGATATATATAGAGGAGAGGGCGACAAATGTACGAACCCGGTTGCTGTATGGATGTGAAAAGTGAAGAACAAATCTCAGAAACTGATGAACTCGTTTCTCTTATCCGCCGGCGCTACGCATTGCCAGAGGGATCGGTATGCCGGAATATCTGCCGCCTTTACCCCTACTGCTGCCAGGTTCCGTCCATACTCCTTCACACGCAAAAAATACGTAACCCGTTCGTCGGAATAGCTGTGGATGAATGGAGAAGGCAGAGGATGGAAAAATCGTCAAGACAGGTTTTGTTTTTTGTGGGAGGTACCTGAATATCAAGGAACAGCTGCATACACATCTTGTCGGTGTCGGAGATATTGTGGTCGGAGACATCCGATGAAGCACCAGCTCTTCTCTGTGCTCCTTGACGTATTCTCTGAAGCGACGATTCTGTTTTCCTCGCCTTTCCAAACAAATACAGGTGGACAATTTGGTTAATAATCGAATCGAATAACACATAACCGTAAAATCCGATACAAGAACTGAAGGGTTATGATTTCTTTAAAACCGAAGAAACTAAAGTGAAAAAGAAAATAAACGAAAAAACTGAAAAGTTCTTTGAAAAATGAGTATTTTTATCCATTCAAGCCAAAACGAACCGAAACCGAACCATATTCAATATAAAAACTGAGTAGTTACAGTTTTCTTAAAACCGAAATGATCTAACCAAAATATAACTGAACTGAGCCCAAACCGAAACCCGAAAAGTCCACCACTGTTTACAATAAAATAAACTAATTTCCTTTTTTTTAAAGATTGGGTACTTACCACATTAACAAGGTCCGAAGTCAATTCATAATACCGTCTGGTAATTTCGGTCACAGTGCCAAGCAAAAGCTCCTGCCTTGTTTCGGGTGTCAAATAATTACTTGCCTTGTCTCCATCCAGAAAGGCCTTGAGGTTTGCCAAAAAAACACAAAGATAAGAGAAATTTCAGAGCTTAATAAGCCAATTTAGAATGAATATTGAAAGAGGGAATTGAATGAATGAGAATACCTTTAGAGGACGCAATATTCCAGTAACGTAAGGCGAGTGCCTGGTCGGAAGAGGTTTATTCGTCATCCTATATGTTGCGGTTATCCCTTTTAGCTGCCTCAGATCCTAAAGTTATTAACAAAGGAAAATTATCGGTAACCTATTCAGCACCATATTCTTGGATGAGTTTACTAAAGCAAAAAAAAAAAAGTTGCATCAAAACGAACAATGTAACGTATCCAAATGTTATTAGGGCTCTATACCTCGACAGATTTATCGACAATGACCTCGATTATTGTGCTGCTAACTGAGGGTAAGACGTTTTTCAGTGATTCCCCGCCATGTAGAATGCTTTGCCTCACCAAATCAAGAACTTCGGTGGAGCATGAAGACAAAAGCTGCATTACATGTCCAATGTAATTGCCACAAACTTCTGAGGCCAGGCAATTTATATCGTGAATAACCTGCAAACCAATGCCAATTAACTTCAGATAATTTTAGGCAAATCAGGACCAAGAGTTAGTGTCTTGGTGTTTAATGATTCCGAGCATTGGGTTCACGGAATTTTTTTTTAACAAAGTTGTTAAGAAATATAAGAATCATAGAAAATGAGAAGCAATCAAGAGAAGATGGACCTACATAGACAAAATCATCTGGGGTAGCGGAAACGGCCCATTCACATCCGGGAATTGGATTGGCATTACCCATTTTCCGGGTAGTCAGTGCAGATGACAGCCAATTGGAATATCTACATGATCATAACATACAAAACATTTCTATCAGCAACCCATAGAAGTGAAAGCTACTTACATAAAGGAATGAAAGTCATAAACAGAAATAGTATCACAGTCAAATCCCACACGGACCTTGAGAGGAGCTGCAGGGTCAAGCGAAGAAACTTATCGGCAGCAGAGAAAACAAGAACGTCTTCTTTCCAACACGATCTCAAGCTCTCCAAAAGACTGGCGCTCTGACTTAGAGTTAAGCTGTGCGATTTCGGTTGATCAGAATTAGAATCCTGAATTATCACAAGAGAGGCAGAAGTAAGGGCAGACTCCAGAGCTCCAGCTATCTCCTGAAACCTGATATTGCACATTCTCGAGATTAGGAAAGTTGTGAAGCACTAATATATTAGTAACCCCAGAAGCAAACCATCAGGGAAATAGGTAGAGTACCTTAGAGAAAAATATACTCCAACATTCCATTGCTTCATAAACTCAATATACACAGCTTCAGATCGGAATTTAGTTACAGCAGACATTGATGGACAATAACCTTCACGAAATATTTTTAAAGGTATGACTATAAGTAAAAGCTTCGAAGTTTATCATTGCTCATTGGTAAGTCCAGTTATTCCTTTACACATGATGGTGGAAAATTAGTTCACAAGTTATCTGAATATATGCTCGAGCATAGAGTATCATAAGGATCGATTCACTACCTTCAAGATATGCTAGGAAGTCCAGGCTTGCCTTGTAATTCTTCAAGAATTCAGTAGGTCTTCCGGGAGAAAAGGCTCCCGGTTTGACTTTCTGGATTGCCCAAAGAACTTCTTTCAGGATTGAGTTGGCCAAGAAGTTGAACACGTGCAAACCTGACTTATCTGTTATCCATTTTGGAGGTGACAATGTGATACCATACAAAAATGTCAATAAATGATAGGTAATGCAACAGTCTAAAGAAGTAAAAGAAAGTAAATTTCAGATAAACAAACTGGGATAGTATTCCCAATAGATTATTGCCATAACCAATATGAAAACTAGAGAACATGAAATCCAAGTGACAGTGCCAGTTCCACAATATTCTTCTTACATTGAGCAATGCAGCTACACCTTCGCGGCACAAAATGGGATATTGAAGATCCCATTCATAAGAATCAAACTGAACCTAGCTCCAGAGACTAACGTGAATTACCTGTTGAACAAATGTCTAACAACATCTTGCAGTTCTGCTCAATACAATGCTTGATTTGCTTGTAATCTTTCTCGAGCTCATTTCCTGATGTCCCAGCAGCATCCACTGATGTTTCATGTGTAACAAATTTCATTACAAGTGGAGCCACAATGGTTGTGCGATAAATTTCTTCTGCGCTGTTTGTGTTATCTATGGCAGCATATGCACGCAAACAATTGTAAAGGACGCTTTCATCCCGATTGTTTAGCCCATCGATGAAGCAATGACCCAGGCTAGCATCTAATTGCATGCTTGCACTCTGACTCCTCTTCTCCATGTTCTTAATGAAAGGCAGGTTCTGTACTGGCATACAGAGAAAAGTAGTGAGCACTGGATGTATAAGGCCATTCTTCAGGAGTCCAGAGGAAAATATACCAGGTAATTCAATAGGGTTCTCTCAAGATCCTACCAGCTATTCATCACTCTCAATTCTTAGCAACACATGACATTCTGCGACTTTTCCAGAGCCACACTTCCCCTAGGTGTCCTAGAAATATTCTCAAGTCATACCCGCAAACTGGATTTTTCTCCCCAGTAACTTTTTCCAACCAATAAATGCAACACCGCCCAAACACATTTATCCATATCTCCGGAAAAGTCATAGTGGTTTATCACTCTTTCTCCCGGGTTGAAACTAAATAAAGATATGACTAAGAAGCACAAATCCACTGCCACCATTTCCCAGTGTCCCATTTTGAAAAAATTGTTTAGATATACCCTCTCCAGAATGCAAAAGAATCAAGATAGTTTAAAACGACTATGTTGTAAAGAAATCCATCATCCTAAGAAGTCGAATATTTTGGGATGAATAAATGAAATGACAATGTTCGAAACAAAATAGTTAAAAAAAAAGTAGAAGGCATAACGATGGAGACCTGCTTATGAGTCGTATAGAACTTCAGCCGATTCATTTCACTAGCTATCCTTTCCAAATGCGTGCTCAGGGTTTCTCTCATGGTTGTGCCATCTTGCTGTAAAGAGTTTCCATCATTCATAGAACTCTTTACTATCAAATTGGCATCATCCTTTGGCCAATCAGACGGACTACTCGGTAGACCTTTTATAAGCTTTTCAACCTACACATATGACGAAACACAAGCATAATTAAAGTCAAGAAGTTAGATGTTCTAAACTCAAGCAAATCTCAAAATGAACATGGGCAAATCCATTGGCGCAGTACATAGCATGCGCTTTGCATTTAACAAGCACTAGATTAACTAAAGAAACGAGAACATATGAAACTATCAATAAGCTGCTAAATTAGATCCAAGATGATTAACAAGTTCACACAAGTCCCTTGATCAAGATCCACACCTGGGATGCTAACCCAATTCCAAAGAAAGACTCGCGGGAAAGTTAAGTGCAAGACTATAACCCATGATTTTCGAACCTAACAAAAACAACATTCTAACTAAAATCGAACGAATCAAGGATCTTCGCCAAAGTTTAATCACAAACCCAGGTTCCATATCAAGCGAAAACCGTAGTCTGGAGTGTAAACAAGTCACCCAGATTGCGGTGAACAATTCCTCGGTTCCCAGACCTTAATATTTAGAACCCGGAATCAAGTACCTTGGACACGAGATGGAAAGTGTTGAGTAATGACTCCAGGTCCTCCCTAGCGGCAGCAGCATCGGACCGCTGCTGCAACCCGCTCCGCAGAGCAAATAGCACGGCCTCTACTGATCCGCGAAAGCCCACAATCTTCTCGCGAAGTTCGAGGAGCGGCGCGCGCATTCGAACGACAGCGGCGTCGACATCGACGAGCTTCGTGCTGAGATTGACGAAATCGGCGTAGTCGCGGTTGATGAGATCGACGAGCTCGCGGTTGAGGGAGGCGAGATGTGACCGAAGCTCCGATCGGAGAGTGTCGAAGGGGACGAAGGTACGGAGCTCGGAGATGTAAGATTCAGAGTCGAAGTTCGGGGAAAGGAAGAGAGAAGGCTTGAACCATAGAGGATGCGAGTCTTGTGGGTCCGAGAATAGGTCCGTCGCGGATCTCGGCGGCGGAGACGCCGTCGTAATCAGATCTGACATTTTCCCGATCTGTCTCCTGAGCTCTTCGTCGTGGGAAGCCGAAGGTGGAGAGATAACACCTGCGCGTGGAGAGGGAGAACTGCGTGCCGTTTTGGAATACTTAAAAAGATCTGCGTGTCGGTTTGATTCGCCGCGCTTGATCACAAGTCCCCATGAACGTACGTATGGCATGGGGTTACAATTCAGATTCGTCCGGTTTAGTAAAACCGAGACGTTGAGATGATTTAACAAATTATGGATTTTTAACCAACTTTCTTGGAGCAAGGTTGATTCCAGAAAATTAGACACAAGGTTTTGCCCCCTTTACTCTCAAATATTGTATATTATAAACCCAAATAATTACAAGAAGCTTCTTCGTGGCCATTATGCCGAATATTTGTTCAAATTTACGAATTGACAATCTGAAGTTCGAGTTACGAGAGGAACGTCAATGATGGCCAGAATTCGGGTTTTTTGGGATATGAATTGAGACCCACAGGGCTTTTGGTAATAATTCTTCTTCTTCATGTCGACGTTCTCACACAGCCCCTTTAGCCTAAACCCTCTCTCATAAAATGCCACATTTGTAACCAAATCTCATAAAAAACTAAACAAATTCAATTCCGTACGCTTCAGCCAACCCTCCACACGAAGAAGTTACAAGGGGGAACACATACAGCTGCACACAGCACAAATTCCCTAAATCGAATTAATGCAACACCAAAGCTGTGCTGTCTTAATACTCTTGGTAGCATCTGTGAAATATATAAAAACCCATGCTTGAAAACACGATAGTAATACGAACATGTACATATGATTTTTTTCTTTTGACATAATATAACTTTATATGACCCTGCAACTATAGAAAGATGGTCACTGTGATGGGCATTAAACAGGCAGTCCTGTGTTTCCACAGGAAGATAAAAAAAAGTCTCGACGAGGATGTATGATTCTTACCTCAAGAGCTTTTCCTCCTCGGGTGGTGAATCACTGTTTGACTTCCTTCGAATAGATCTAACAAGTAACCCTCCAGGTCATCTGGTGTGTACTTGATGTACTTTCCAGCATGCCTTCCGCCTTCTAGCTGACTCTTATTCCTCCCGAAGAATGCCCGGTATGCCGGAATCACTTTCTCCGATATAGATATCCTCAATTCTTCCCGGAGTTGAGGATCCGGGACCTTCCAAGCTGTTTGAACCCTGTACAACTCTTCAAAGCTCGCATTGAATGCTTTGAATCTCTCCTTCAAGGCCAATGCGTTACTCGAACTACTGCTTCTTAGCCTGTAACTCGGGCTATTACTCGAGCTCCCGGATTCTTCCCTCAAAGAAGACAGCACTCTGCTCCATGATGCCCTGAGGTAACCAGTAGCGTATTGACGTATCTGCCCTCGCCGTTTCTTGACCCAATCATCGCCCAAGAGCTTGCCCAGCTCTGAATCCTTCACCTTCTGTACTATGTAGAGGATATTGTTCATCAAGAATATGCATTGCAATCCACCATCCTCATACAACTTAGATTTCTCTTCCAGATTAAGCTCTAGGGAAGTAATCAACCTCAGTAGCCGCTTAGCAAGAGGCGACATGTTCTCCGGCAAATTATTCGCATCATCCCCAGATATGCCCTCTAACTCGTTATCCTCATCGTTCTCCAGAAGAGAATTCAGGGTCTCGGCATAATCCACAATCAACTTCACATAGTTCATCACGTACCTTATCATCGGATGAACCTCACCATTTATAGTCGGTCTCTTCGAGGTCTCGTAGAGAACGTTGTTCTCAAACGCAACGAAAGTGCCCCTCACTGCATCAGCTAGTGCTGCCAAAACCACCCTGGCTTCGTTACACAAAAACTCGTCAGTAACCGTCACCTGCAGGGCCTGCAACACGTTGGCCAAGGCATCATACATATCCAAAATCCTGAACAGCTTCTCTGACGATCTTCTACCTATGGCCACGGCCTCTCCGAAATTCAACAGCTGCATCACACAACCTTTGGTTGTCTCGTTGAAGCAAATTTCCTTACTTGATTCTGAGCTGCTGAATATTTCATCGCATAGCCTCTTCTCTCCAGCAAGAAGAACCTTAACAGTAATCTTCACAGCTTGTATCCATTTCTTCATCTTCTCATCCAAAACCTTCCATTCAATCTTCTGCACTTCTTCGATGCTGAGCTTCTCCACACCCAGAATCATCAAACACTCATCCAAAGCATCACGCCTCACAGTGCTATACACCTGCACACACTCCTTCTCATATCCAGAACGGATCATCCGTTCCGCAATCTCCTTCAACCCTGCAACTGCAATCGGATTGATCAAATCTACCCACAGATCACCTCCTATGCTCCCTCCCCTCTCATGGAACAACCCCCTTCTACTCCCGATTTCTTCTCCATCAGCAACCTCCCCAAAATTCTCAAATTCCTCACCGATATCACCATCTGCAAAAGACAGGGCAGTGCGTCGAATGGAGCCGTAGAGCCGCTCCGCGTCGAGAGGAACAGTGTTGCGGATCAAGATATGTCGGAACTCGTCCTCCAATTGAGACATGGCAAGCTGCAAAGAACTGTCGGCTCGTTCCACAAGTTCGGGCTTGTTTTCCAGAGAAAAACCCTCAAGCAGAGACAGAATCTCATCAACGGCGGAGAGAAACTCCACGGCTTCCTCCGACGATTCCTCGAACGACACAGACAAGGAAGAGTTATGGTGGTGGTTACCAGAAGACGACGACGAGTGGCGGGAGGAGTCATTTGCGCCGGAGTCCCACCGGTGGATGAGCATCTCCGCCGCCTCCAACCGCGCCAAAGCGACGTCGGACTCATCCTTCTCTTCCTTCGTCATCACCGACTTGATGTTCGACAAACGATTATCGAAGCTGGAGAAGATGAGCAGCATGTCTTCGCGAACCTCCTTCGGTGTGTTCAGACTCTTCACGATCTGCTGCGCCGTCGCGAGGACACGGTCCTCAGGTCCACCTCCGCCTCCCGGAGCGGCGGAGCCGATGCTCGATGCATCCGTTGCCGTCGTCGTCGTAGCCGCCATCTACCAGGAGCTTCTCACGCACGCCTGATCGAGAGAAAAAAATGAAACCAAAACAGGAAAAAAAAAAACGATTCCAATGGATCGAAAGGATCAGAACATGATCTATTGACAGATTAGGGAAGAGATTGAGCGGTTTTGGATCAATTTTCAGGGAAAATTAAAGCTGGGAGTAAATCTAGGGCTTGAGAGTAACGACAAGGAAAGAAATGGAAGAGAAGGGGATTAGGTACTATTACTCACCTGAGCGTTCTTCGTGATCGTCGGGGTTGGGCCAGTGGCAATATGGTAATTTTATATTTCGTCATATATTTTCCCCACTTGGTTGGTTTGACCGGCTTTTTCCGGTTCGGTTCGATTAATTTTCTTTCCTGTTTTTTTCGTCAATTAATATTAAATTTAACGTTTATGGCCATACGTTAATAAAGTATTACATTTTCCAAATTTTATTTACAGTGTTCTAAAAGTGTTATTTCGCTCATAATTAAATAATATATATTCTATTTAAATTCAAATATTAGGACTTATTATTATAAATAATCAATTCTATCAATATGTTGATTTTTTTTTTATTTCAAGTTGATAATGAAATTTATTTTACGATTTAAATACATAAGTATTTATGAGATAAAAGGATATTCTGGTCGCCCAAGTGTTTGTTTGGTGGCAACATCAACTTGTCTCTTGGACTGTTCCGCATTTAGTTTTCCCAAAGAGTTTCTATTATACACCATTTTCTCATATAATTTTTTGTTCTAATTTATTGCTTATATACTCGAATAAATAATTTATAATTTATCTGAATTTTTAGGTCAAGATATAGTTTATCTAATAATGATTTAAATAACATTATTATTTTTGTTTTTGTTTTCCTTGGTTTTGCTTCGAGGCAAAGCAAGATACGACATCGGAGAATTCGAGAAATATGATTTCGTTTTCGATTTTAGAGTTTCCTTATTCCAACTAATTTTGTAGAAAACAAAAGGTGGGTATTATCATTTTTAGGATTTTAAAAATGTAATTTATCATCCTCATGATTCCAATTTATAAAGACTAAAACTTCCAAACAATTATAGATAATAATAGAATGTTTCACAACTGACCATATTTTAATTAGGATTATATTAATAAGATTTTGATAATCTTATATTTAATACAAATAGTGACATTATAATAATAAAAGTATACATTTTTTTTATATATTAAACAAAAAAAAGACCACCATGTCTTAATCAATGTGAACACAAAACCATCCTGGACCTGGTCATGTTAGGTGGTGTATTGAATATATATATATATATACAAAAATAGTTTCGGGTATTTAATTTGATTGGAATTTTGGTCAATGAGAAGAGGATTATGAATCCAATCTTTCGGAGAAATTTGGGGTGACACACCTAATATATTCAATTTTCTCTGATAGGTAAGTCTTACCTTGTAATATATTATAGATATTTATTTTCATTATTTTTTTAGTAGAAATCAGAATTCACGTAAAATGGTGGTGCTAAACCTAAATATTTTATTTTTATTATATTTATATATTTAATTCCCATCTCTGTAAACTAATAACCAAAAGGAACAACTCACAACCTTATATTTTCAATCAAAACGGTGGAACCAGATTCACAAAAAAAAAAAAAAAAAAAAAAAAAAAAAAAAAAAGAAAAAAAAAAAAAAAAAAACAGGTAAACAATGAAGGAAACGGTTATTAATGTTATTAACCGGTTCGGTTAACAGTTATAATTCGGTTATTTCGAGCCAACTTTTACCTAACAAGTGGACAAGTTCTATGGTAACTCACGCATCAATGATAACATAAACTTACTTCATTTTCTCAGTTTTTCCTCTGCTTTTCCATCGTTTTCTCGCCTTTTCTCAGTGACCAAACAAGTATACAAGTTCTTTATAAGTGAAACATATGTGGAACTTCTTCACCTCTGACTCCTCCGGACATGGCATCATCTCCCCACTCGTTCTGAAGCACCTGAAGCCAAATAACAACAACAATCTCTTCATCGATCTTCTGACTCTGGAATCCATGGATACTAACAATGCTCGGAGATATTTTAAGCAGGAGAAGGAATCAAAACTCGGAAACTTGTAAGAGATCGGAGAACAGTACCTTTGGAAATCGTCCTTTCTCTGCTCTGACGGGAAAATCCGCTAACAGGGAAGTCGCACAGAGGAAAGAGGCAATCCGGACAAAGAGGATAGATCCCATTAATCAAAACCCTAAACCCTAACCAGATGATGTAACAGGTATGTGTACGGAACGATACAACAGACAAAAGATACTATGTAACGACTGTGTTTATGCTATTTTCAAGAGCTCTCTTCTTCACTTTATTCACTCGGGCAATCTCAAACGGTTGAAAAGTACCAAGAAACTTTGCTCCGGGACTACATATAGAAACCCGAGATCTGCACCTTTGACATATGGTCCCATGCCCTAAAAACGAAAAACCCCGAGAAATCGAGGGATGATGAGTTTTTTTTTAACGCACACGCAAAATGTACAAGTGAAAGCTCATTTGTCTTTTTTTTTGGAGTACCTTTCCATTGAGTTGTAGAAGCTCGCCTTCCACCCATTTTGGGTTCTTAAACCCAAAGTCTGCTATTCTTCCTTGTCCTTTGTAACCTGCAACCTATGTGTATGCAAAATCTTTCAGCAACCCTTTTTTCTCATTGAACTGTCAATGTGACCGGATTGATGAAACTCCGAAAGGATTTGTTGGGACATGTTCATAACTTTAAAACCAACAAGTACCCTCCAGACAGACATGGGATTTTCAGTTTAGCAAGAAAATTTCTCGGTTTGGGGCAAACACAAAGACAGGGAAGTGCTTCCAGTTTCGGCGACATGTTCATAACTTTAAAACCAACAAGTACCCTCCAGACAGACCTGGGATTTTCAGCTTAGCAAGAAAATTTCTCAGTTTGGGACAAACACAAAGCCAGGGAAGTGCTTCCAGTTTCGACGACATGTTTATGCTTCCAATATTGATTTGGTGACATGTTTATAATGGCCGGTTTTCAGAGATTTCCAGAGTGAAGGTTAAGAGATGAAGGAAGAGTATCACTACCACTCCCAAATCCTCGGGGTACATTCCACGATTGTTGAGGCGATTTCCCCTCCCAATCTTCGCACGGAATGTCACCTGAAAGCAAGAATTGTTATCGCCTATCTAATCCCCTTTTGTCCTAATAAATATTCGAAGATGTAAAAATTAAAATATAATATACAACAATTTACTTATTTTTTTAACAAAAGAGAAAAAACCTGGCCTGCCGGGACGTTTGGATCTCCTGTCAATTTCACAGCCTCAACATATTCAAAGAACTCAACATCTGAGGAATTATCACTCTCTTCATCATTCCACCGACCGTATTTACGCGTAAGTTGCACTATCTCGGTGCCATAAGGTCCAAAAGCACCAACATATAAGCCTGCATATTCGATTTAAGATCATAATCCCAAGTTGATAGATGTAAAAAGATTATACATTTCCAAAGGAGTATGCTACAAATGTACAACAAAACATGCTTACCATCGAATGGGTCTAAGTTGCCTTCAGAAATATTAATTCTGTTAAAGGTAGTAAACTCGGAAAGCTGGTTCCGTTTCTGTGCCTGGCTAATAGCAAGTTTGACGATTTCACGCACATTTCTCGATACCTACAACGGCAAACAAATTGTTAGCTTCTTATCGAACAATTCCTGAAGCTGCATAAGGTAGAAGTAACCATAGTGGATGCCTCCAGTTTTAATCTAAATGCAAAGCCAGAGCATATGAATCAATGTCCTTCAAAATCTTGATTATATATCCTACTTACGATTAAGAACCCTCGAACATTTCACGAGGCATTGTCATTCGGAATTCAAATAAAACAAACTCAATAATCTGAAAGAAAAGTTGAGAATTGTAAACTCAGGGGAATTTACCTTCGAAGAAGACTTTTCAGAACCCCAAAATGCCTTGGCAACCTCTGGGGGCATAAGCTCTGAAATCCCTTGGGCTGCTACAGCTGTTATTTGTACCTTTGACAATTTATTTGTCTGTATTTCATTATCTCCGATAATTCTCTCGGGAATATGCAACACAAAAGAATCCTTTTCGATGTCTCTTATTCCTGCT